CTGGTAACTTGATACCTTGGAAACATGATATCTAGTAAACTTGATGACTTGGAAACTCGATACCTTGGAAACTTGATATCTTGTAAACTCAATGACTTGGAAACTCGATACCTTGTAAACTTGATAATTCGGAAACTTGATATCCTGGTAACCTGATACCTTGGAAACATGATGTCTTGTAAATTTGATGCCTTGGAAACTCGATACCTTGGAAACTTGATGCCTTGTAAACTTGAGAACTCGGAAACTTGATATCCTAGTAATTTGATCCCTTGGAAACTTGTTGACTTGGAAACTCGATACCTTGGAAACTTGACACATTGTAATCTTGACAACTCGGAAACTTGATATCCTGGTAACTTGATACCTTGGAAACTTGATATCGTGTAAACTTGATGACTTGGAAACTCGATACCTTGGAAACTTGATGCCTTGTAAACTTGAGAACTCGGAAACTTGATATCCTAGTAATTTGATCCCTTGGAAACTTGTTGACTTGGAAACTCGATACCTTGGAAACTTGATACCTTGTAAACTTGATAACTTGGAAACTTAATACCTTGGAAACTTGAAAACTTGAAGACTCGAAAACTCGATAAGTCGAAAATTTAAAGACTCGAAAACTTGAAACCCAATTTAAAAAACTATTACCATCATTTCAAAGAATCTCCATACACGTAAGATAATATCCTCATCCCAAAACCACTCGCAATTAAATTAACCCGTGGTGACTGTTGAGTCTCCATGAAAATTGAATCTCCCCGAAGTGGTGCCCCGTAAAAGCTTCCGGAATCGAAGATGGCCTACAGAGGATCCCAAGAACATCCTCTTCCCAGGTTCCCTACCCTCAGCTGCTGTCTATATTCAATTACTTCGGATGCGAACCGTCTCAGCTTCCGATACAGCTATTAAAGGGACAGTTAGTTAAATAAGAGAGAATTAACCCGGTTTCTGGTGCAACGAACACCGTAAACTACGCTTGCAACCTCCTCAACCATTTACCCCTGAAAGCCTGATACTCTTTGCGACCTTTTCTTCGTTTTCCATGTTGCATTAGCCATATTGTTGGATCTTGGCCAGCTTTGTCGATATTTCGTACTCCATCGCGAAGATTAAACCGTCGACGTGCGGAAATGTGTGATTATCGTGCATTGGGGTGATTTAAAGGTCTGATCGATATGGTTCGAAGGTTATAAGGGGTAAAATTATAAATTTGTGAGTTTAAATTATTATAACTAATTTCAGTTTTGCAAAAGGAAGTAATCACATGGAGATAAGTCAGAATTTGTAGGATGTGGAACAAACTTGTTTTTTCGCCAAAAATTCACGAACAGACAGTTCTGTGACATGGTGCGTCATGCAACAGAAACCAACTTCCCAGCGCTCGATATTCGGGCCTAACACGAACGATCCTCCTCCACAAATGTTCCATAACACCCAGATAATATACTATTAACATTTTGTCCCGGGAACGAATTCCCGAAGTATAATTCGTTTAGAATCGTAAAAACAAATTAACATTGTCTTCTCGAGGGACTTCTGGAATCGCAATTTTTTGATTTTGGAGAGCCTGGAGATTTCCACGTAGCACTTTGGCGCTTTGTTCGAGGTTCATACTTGAAGCACCGCGTCTCGTCACTAGTTACAATTGATTCTAGGAATGTACAGTTTCATCTAGCTGTTTTGATAAGATCTCGCAATATTCAACGCGAGCAATTTGTTGCTTGCCCGTGATTTTGTGACACGGTGACGAAAGGTTCTGCCGCATTAAACGTTATAAGTTTACAATTCGTTGCTCGATTCCAATAATTGTTGTGTTTTGTAGGGGGGGTATACTGTTTTCAGATAACATATTCCTAGACTTCTGTAATTCTAAATCCAACAAATTCTCAAATTTCAAAAACTAGAATCGACAAACGACCCGCTTCTTCCGCGCCGGTCGGTATATTTTTCCTAGAGAAGCCAGATTTGCTCTTTGCCGTACACTCGTGCTCTGTGTTTCTGGCATTCTGTTGTTCGGCAAAAGCGAGGCTCAGCCCGGCACTCGAGTACTCTGGCTTGTTGTAATGCGATTATTTCACGGTGACTTTTCGTGCCACGTTTCGCGGTTCACGGGCTCAATGTGCCCTTGATACTTTCGACTCCCTTTCATCAAATTACCCTCGAGTTGCTGCGTCCTCGACCACCCCTCGTCACCCGAATGAGAGAAAAAAAAACATTCGCCCTTTTATTAAACCCTTGACATCTTTCTACGCGGGTCAAATTTCCTTTGCAGTTTTGTCATTACCATTCGATTTCATTATTTTCCGCTCTTTGCGCGAAGGACGAGGTTAATTAAAGACGGAGCGAACGTTCAACGTTAATTCGCATTTTTTTAATTTGGTATAACGAGTCAGACGCACATGGTCAATTTTTTTTACGGTTCAAATGTGAAAAATTGTATTTGGAGATGGATGCAATTTTGAGTTTGATGTTGATTATAGATGGAAGGTAGATGCAAAATGTATTGTAGGCAATAGTAGAATTGGCGAAGAGGATGACGTGTAAGGACTATGATTTCATTTGGGGTTCATAGGAATTCTATGGAAATATTTTCGAAAATATTTTGCTCACAATATTGTGACGCACCTCCTGATGAAAAGCAAAATTTGAACGATCGAGTGTTTGTGACGCACCTTATGACGCAAGTAAAAATTAGCAGGATCAAGTATTCCTGACGCACCCTATGACGCAACCCCAAAACTAACACAATTGAGCCATAGTGACGCACCTTACGACGCAAATCAAAATTAGCGCCAACAAGTCTTCGTGACGCACTTTATGACGCAAAACAAAATTAGTATGATCGAGTCTTCCTGACGCATCCTATGACGTAGTCAAAATTAGTACGATCGAGTCTCCCTGACGCATCCTATGACGCAGACAAAATTAGTACGATCGAGTCTTCCTGACGCACCCTATGACGCAAACCAAAACTACCACGATCGAGTTTCCATGACGCACCTTATGACGCAAACCAAAATTAGCACCAACAAGTCTTCGTGACGCACCATATGACGCAAACTAAAATTAGCACAATCGAGTTTCCATGACGCACCTTATGACGCAAATCAAAATTACTCTAAGTCTTCGTGGCACACCCTACGACGCAAAGAAAAATTAGCATGATGGAGTACTTATGACGCACTCCCAAATTAACGCGATCCAGTTTCCATGACGCACCTTATAACGCAAACCGAAGTTAGTACGATCGAGTCTTCATGACGCACCTTATGACGCAAACTAAAACTAACACGATCGAGTCTTCGTGACGCACCATATGACGCAAACCAAAATTAGCACGATCGAGTCTCCATGACGCACCTTATGACGCAAATCAAAATTACTCTGACTAAGTCTTTGTGGCACACCCTATGACGCAAAGAAAAATTAGCATGATGGAGTACTTATGACGCACTCCCAAATTAACGCGATCCAGTTTCCATGACGCACCTTATAACGCAAACCGAAGTTAGTACGATCGAGTCTTCATGACGCATCTTATGACGCAAACCAAAACTAACACGATCGAGTCTTCATGACGCACCTCATGACGCAAACCAAAATTAAAACGGTCGAGTCTTTATGACGCACCCTATGACGCAAACCAAAACTAACACGATCGAGTCATCGTGCCGCACCCTATGACACAAACCAAAATTAGCACGAGTCCGGAATTTAATACCAATTACAATTTACATGATCAAGGATAAATTGAAAGTACACCTAATATTTCAACTTTCTTCACTCGTTTTAACATTGCAGTAATGATCACCGACAACCCATGACTTGACCCAGGTGTTTGGACTACGGCCTCAGTCAGAATAGAAAAATACCCACACGTATTTTCGGCGGTATCGGTCACAATTGAGTCAAAGAACAAGTCGGCAAACGTTTCGAGTGATCGAACGTCAGAACGTCACATTGAACTGTTCAAGGTGGCGTCCCTTAAACCTGGCTCAGCCTACGCGCCAGGAACAGGGTTGTCTACAGTACATACCGTAGTCGAGCCAGGAATTGGCGCGTGGGAGGCTGACCCAGGTGTTTGGAAGGACTACGGCCCCAATTGGTCAGAAGAGAAAAATGGACGCCTGGACTCACACGTATTTTTGGCGGTAGTGTTGGCTCTCGCGGTCGCCAATTAGGCGAAACATGACAGGCAAACCGAGAGATAATGCGAATTGCTGCAGTTGTTATTGTCATTATTCTTATTTGCCGATATGTCTGGTAGTGTCGCAGTGGGAATAGTTCTTTTGGGTCTCACCCAACTCCTGGTTTGAGTACTGTACGTAACACTTCAAGTCTTAATATTAAGACTTGACTACAACAGTATTAACTATGACTGACGTAACTGTTCTACTGTAATTTAAATGTAATTGTTGATCTTTCAATCTTCGTATCCCTCAAAAATAAAGTTCTCCAAATTCACACGACGCGATGGTCCAAAGCTAAACCTACCGGTATACAATAAATACATTGAAAATGAAAAATGCAGTTGCAAACTAAACAATAAGACATAAACTAACGCTAGAACTACCACTTTAAATGCATTCTGAATCAAAAGTAAAGAAATACTGATATAACTAAGCTTGATATACTAAAACTTTCACATACTTTATCTGAACAAAGTGTGCCACCACTGATGTGGACAAAAGCTCAGCAAACATTTTGTAATATATTAAACTTGAAACCATATCTCCTTGAAAACGCAGATTTCAAGAAAACTTCAAACATAACATGAAATAGAAAATATCCAAAATGATTTGGTTTAATATGAAATCACAAGCGAATCGTGCGGACCACGGTTTTGTCTATCATCCTCAAAAAATTACGGGAGACGTCACTTTTGAACTGCACATCGTGTATTTGCATCTCACGGTTACCGGAAGTTAGAGGCGGTGAAAAGACATGCTGTAAACAATCAGGTGTCATCGTGCACGGTTATCGATTAGGGTACTGACCTTGTTAGGCGGCGCTTGAATTCCGTGGAACGGCAGGTTCTCGTAAAACGTCTTCGCCCCGGACTCGGGAAGACCTTCCGACACGCTGTTCACGTGATTGTTATTCGCAGCTTGATTGGGATCTGCAAGCGTAAATGAAACGTGACTTTGCGTGATAATGGACTGACAATTCCATGTTGATTTTCTGGGCTTCTGAATATTAAAAAGATTATTTTGTTTTGATCTGCAGACAGTTTTCAAAAACCCACGCAACTGGAACGAGCTACAGGTCGCTTCAAAAATAGTGTCACACAATAGTAATACATTTTGTATAATATAGTCTTGTTTATAATCCTTTGGTAGCAGTTTTGTATAAAATTTAAATTGTAACAATTATTTATCTATTTAGAAATTACTACTAATAATAGCTCTATATTAAACTTTATATTAAACTTGAATAGTAATTCATACAAAATTATTATTTCTTATATATGTAGGAATTATTACACAATTTAACGTGACTTCATATTTAATAACACTCATATATAATACACTCTAATTCTCTTTCACAAAGGAAATGAATCTACGTAAAAATCAATATGGCTTCCAAGCAAAAGCCCGCCATAAATAACCTAACCTCAAATATCAAATACAGAAAATGTCTCTTGCTTTTGTACCACTATCTTGCACCACCAGAAATTTTCAAAATAGAAGATCGAAGTAGAAAACAATATGCAGTTTAAAGAAAGAGATTGGATTTTTTCCGTTTATACAAAAATGGAAGTCGGAAGACGGTTCTTGTTATAACAATCGATTTATTTTTTTTTTTTTATCCGGGATGGGTTTCGAGATATAGCTCGATCCAGTTGCAGGGATATCTCGTAAGCTCGATCCCGTATCCCGTAGGATAAGGGCGGTCTATCGGATATTTCGTAGGGAGAAGGGTTGCATCGAGTGCACGAGAGAGACAGAGACAGAGACACAGAATTGAATTGTAAATATTCAGGTGTGATTGCAAATGCTAGAATAAGTGAGTGGCTATGTCTAGATCTAAGGTAACTAACACAGGTAATTGAACGTATATAGGTGAGAATATTCAGTGGTGTTTGATCGGGTGGCTTCTATTGTCGGTGGGAACGAGCCGTTGTTAATCTTACGGTGTACTCGTTTGCAAGGTTATGAGATAGTGTGGTATAGATATAGTGTTGGACGGATTATTGTAACGTCGATTGGGTGAAGTTTTTAGTATATACTTTTTATAGTTTTCGATGTTATAATTTCTTTAAATTCTGGTAATTCTATATTTTCAATTTTATTATTTTATAATTTTCCAATTTTTTAACTTTTCGATTTTCCATTTTTTAACTTGTCGATTTTCCAATTTTCCAATTTCCTAATTCGCCAATTTCCCAATTTTCTAATTTCCCAACTTTCCAATTTCCCAATTTCCCAATTTCCCAATGTCCAATTTCCTAATTTAACAATTTTCCAATTTTCTAATTTTCTAATTTCCTAATTTTCCAAATTCCCAATTTCCCAATTTTCCAATTTCCTAATTTGCCTATTTCCCAATTTCCTAATTTCCCAATTTTCCAATTTCCTAATTTCCCAACTCCCAATTTCCCAATGTCCAATTTCCCAATTTAACAATTTTCCAATTTTCTAATCTTCTAATTTCCTAATTACAAATTTCCTAATTTTCCAATTTCCCAATTTTACAATTTCCTAATTTCCCAATTTCCCAATTTCCCAATTTCCCAATTTCCCAATTTTCCAATATCACAATTTTCCCAATTTTCAGTATTTTAATTTCCCATCTATACAATTTCGTAATGTACTAATTATCTAATTTCTCAGTTTCTCGGTTACTCAATTATCCAATTAGTCAATATAGGAATGAACCAATATTTCAATTTTTCTTTTCAGTGTCTAAATTTTTCAATTCTACAATTCTTCAACTGATCAATTGATCAATTGTCCAATTATTCAATAATCCAATTATTCAATTATTCAATCATTCAATTAGTCAATTATTTCTTTTACCATTTTTTCAATTCGTCAATTATTCAATTATTCAACTTCTGAATTGATCAATTCTCCAATTTTTTAATTCTACAATCCTACAATTCTTCAATTTTTCAATTTTCTAATCTTACACTTTTCGATTTTCCTTCCTCTCAATTTTCAATAATTATTTCTTAATGTTATAACTAAAGATTGATTAGTAAAAACGTAATTTGGATACAGTATACGACAATTCCAATAATCCGAACACTATATGTACATATAAAATGTGAATAGGAAATTTTGTGTTTTAAAATTGTACCTTTTATTCTCAATTTCTCATATAGTTATTAGTTTACTTAATTTTTGTGCATCAAGTGGTGGAATTCAAAACGTACATATATGGTGTTGTTTTATGTCTTCATATTGCACTGTACACAAATGTGCAACATAATAATATTATTAAAAGTTCACTTACATTAAATTTCAGTTATATCAAAACCTTTACTCTATAATATTGAATAAACCTGTTCAATAATATTCTTAAAATTTTAATAAATCTTTTAACAAATTGACAATTTTTACAAAAATTGTTCAACGTAAATAGTTGTTCAATTTTTGAAAAAATAAAATAATCAAGAAATTTAATTATTAGTTTAACAGATCTTTATGACCATTTCAGTGAACCATAAAGATTCTCGGTTTATTTTTACACTTCATCGTTACTAGAAATAATTGCAATCAGAAACTTTTCCCGCAAGCAATTTATTTGCAAACGCGATAGTTATGTACATACGATGCGTTTTATTTGCATGCGAATAATTGCACGTACAGGATTTATAAAAACACCGATAATGAAACTGGACTTCAAACATTTTGCTCATTCATTTAAAATTTTGTATCATTCGAGTATATTTGGTCTATAAATATTTTAAACCATTAAAAAAGTCAATATTGGGGAGAATATTGTTACATTTTTTTATTTTATGAAAACAAATTCAATAAATTTTGTTAATTTAAAATAAGATTAAATATTAAACAAATTATTTTCGTTTCACTAATATTTAATTATTATAATCATAACAAGAATTATAATAAATAAAAATTATAATATATTTTTTCAATTTTCGATTTTAATTTTGTTCAATTTTTCATTTCAATTTTGTTCAATTTTTCATTTCAACTTTGTTCAATTTTTCATTTCGATTTTGTTCAATTTCCAATTTCAGTTTTTCTTAATTTTTTCAGTTCTTAACTTTAATTTTTTTCTATTTTCAATTTTAATTTTCAATATCAATTTTCAATATCAATTTTGAATTACAATTTTCAATGTCCAGTGTCAATTACAATTTTCAATTTTCATTGTCAATTTTAATTTTCAATATCAATATTGAATTACAATTTCGAATTACAGTTTTCAATGTTTATTGTCAATTACAATTTTCAATTTCAATTATCAATTTCTATTATCAATTTCCATTGTCAATTTCAATTTTCAATATCAATTTTGAATTACAATTTTGAATTACAATTTTGAATTACAATTTTGAATTTCCATTGTCAATTTCAATTGTCAATATCAATTTTGAATTACAATTTTCAATTTCCATTGTCAGTTTCAATTTTCAATTTCAATTATCAATTTCAATTATCAATTTCAATTATCAATTTCAATTATCAATTTCAATTATCAATTTCAATTATCAATTTCAATTATCAATTTCAATTATCAATTTCAATTATCAATTTCAATTATCAATTTCAATTATCAATTTCAATTATCAATTTCAATTATCAATTTCAATTATCAATTTCAATTATCAATTTCAATTATCAATTTCAATTATCAATTTCAATTATCAATTTCAATTATCAATTTCAATTATCAATTTCAATTATCAATTTCAATTATCAATTTCAATTATCAATTTCAATTATCAATTTCAATTATCAATTTCAATTATCAATTTCAATTATCAATTTCAATTATCAATTTCAATTATCAATTTCAATTATCAATTTCAATTATCAATTTCAATTATCAATTTCAATTATGTATTTCAATTATGAATTTCAATTATGAATTTCAATGATCAATTTCAATTATAAATTTCAACTATAAATTTCAATTATCAATTTCAATGATCAATTTCAGTAATCAATTTCAATTATGTATTTTAATTATGAATTTCAATTATGAATTTCAATTATGAATTTCAATTATAAATTTCAATTATCAATTTCAATTATCAATTTCAATTTTCAATTACACTTTCCAACTTCAATTCTTAACTTCAATGTTCAATTATAATTTTCAATTTCAATTTTCAATTTCAATTATTTCACCCCTGTGCAAATATCATCATTCCCAAAAAAAAGCAACTTGACAAAGCTGGAAAAATAAGTGGTCAAAGTAGAGGGCGGTTTTCGATCTCGACCTCCAAAACACCATGCTCGTGTTACAATTTCTTGTTTTCACGTACCTGCGCCTGGTTTTTTTCTCTTACGGGAGACGTTGGCTCGGTTCAGTTCGCACGACGATTCCGCATGCAGTATTCGCTGGCGTGGCGTTATTCTTTTGTAAGTCACAGCTAAGGGAACACAGAGAAACAAAAAAAAAAAACGAAAAAGAACAAGCAACGACACGTAAAGCATTTTTTTTCCATGCAGCTCGTCGCGCATGCGCGGACGGGCGTCTATCGCGGGTGAAATTGTTTTATAGCCAGGGTTCAGGTCGTTTTTTTTTTAATACTCCGTACAGGGTTCTATTTTTCAAATTTTATCGCGCACTTTGTTTCCGGCCAGAAGTTCGCCAACGTAATTCCTCGAGCAGTTGTTCGAGCGAAATATATTAGATCATCCGTGGAAGTTCGTGTACTTAGGGCCGGTTTGAAAGCACGGCGTGCTGATGATATACTGATTAATAATGGCGTCGAGGGAAAATTGTGAAAATTGTGTGCTGTTATTTAGATAATTAACTGGCAAATATTTTGTAATTGGTATTTTTACGTTTTCCAATATTTAAATTTTTTAATACTTAAATTTCAAGGTTTTTTAAAAAACTGTTCTAGGGAATTATTATTTGGAATTTGGAAAGTTGGGAATTTTGGGAATTTGGGGAATCTGAGGTGAGGGGAGACTGGAATCTAGAGAATTTGGGATTTGGGCAATTTGCGATTTGGGGAATTTGCAATCTAGGGAATTTGGGATTTGAGGAATTAGAAATCTATAAAATTTGGGATTTGGGGAATTTGGTATCTAGGAAATTTGGGATTTACGGAATACGGTATTTAGGGAATTTGGAATCTAGGGAATTTGGCATTTCGAAATTTGGAATTCCGTAAATTTGGGATTTGAGGAATTTGGTATCTAGGAAATTTGGGACTTATGGAATATGGTATTTAGGGAATTTGGAATCTAGGGAATTTGGCATTTCGAAATTTGGAATTTCGTAAATTTGGGATTTGAGGAATTTGGAGTCTAGGGAATTTGGGATTTGGGGAATTTGGTATCTAGGAAATTTGGGACTTATGGAATATGGTATTTAGGGAATTTGGAATCTAGGGAATTTGGCTTTCGAAATTTGGAATTTCGTAAATTAGGGATCTGAGGAATTTGGAATCTAGGGAATTTGGGATTTGGGGAATTTGGTATCGAGAAAATTTGGGATTTAGGGTATTAGGAATCTATGGAATTGGGAATTTGGGATTTGGAAGAATTGGAATTTGGCAATTGGGGAATTTGTGATTTATTGAATTTGGAATTTAGGGAATTGGTAATTTGGCATTTGGGGAATTTGGAATCTAGGAAATTTGTAATTTGTGGTATTTGTAATTTAGGGAATTTGTAATTTGTGGTTAATGGAATCTAGGGAATTTGTAATTTGTGGTATTTGGAATCCAGGGAATTTGGGGAATTTGTGGAATTTGGAGTCTAGGGAATTTTAGGATCTGTTGAATATGGAATCTAGAGTTTTGAATTTGAAAATTTGAGATTTGTGGAATTTGGAATCTAGGGAATTTTAGGATTTTCTGAATTTGGGATCTGTGGTATTTGTAATTTAGGGAATTTGTAATTTGTGGTATTTGGAATCGAGGGAATTTGTAATTTGTGGTATTTGGAATCTAGGGAATTTGTAATTTGTGGTATTTGGAATCAAGGGAATTTGGGGAATTTGTGGAATTTGGAGTCTGGGGAATTTTAGGATCTGCCGAATTTGGAATCTAGGGAATTTAGGATTTGCTATCTGTGAAATTTGTAATCTATGGAATTTGGGGTCTTGTGAATTTGGATCTGGGGAATTCAGATTATGAAGAATTAGTGATTTGGTGAATTTTTATGATTTGACGATTTGGGTATTTTGAGGATTTGAGAACGTAAGAATTTGGGAAAATGGAAACTTGGTAACTTAGTAATTTGTACATTTTCAAGTTTCAGAATTTAGAAACTTGAATAATTGCAAATTTTCAAATTTGAAAATTGATAATTCACAAATTTCCCTTTCTGAAAATTTAATATAATATGCACTCTCAAAATTTCAAGTCGAAAACCTCTAAATTGCGGCCTATACCGTGCAGGCAAATGAACAGAAATGCAGAGCGAGCCATGAGAACACAGCCTCGCCATGTTCGGTAATAAATATCACGTTTTGAAGAACGTTACGAAAATATACGAAAACATAAAAGCGCACGAGAAGTATGTTGAATAACGAACATTATATTACCACCGGTATAATAATGCGCAGGAAAAGTCGAAGCTTCTAAATGAAACAGTTTTTCAACGTTAACAGAAGCTTAATTAAGCAAATGCAGAATTATCATTGAAATTTTTAATCCTTTTGAACAGCACATGCACGATATTTCCGTAACGTCTATGTAGCTTGATAAATGCACTGATACCAACGACATTAGACGGACTCACTAATTACACGCAAAAAATACACTTTTAATTACCTTTTACCGTGCCGCGATGCTCTTTTCAGAATTACGTTAGCGCAACTTGCTTTAATCTCGCTTAAAATTAACGCTGGCACACGTTTTTAATACGCGGGTGCTGAATTAAAATTTCGAGAGATTAACTTCATCGAGTACGGCGATAATATTTTGATTAACAATTATTTTCTTGTAATTTTGGTTTATTATTTTATTTTGAGTTGTGGGGAGAAGTTTTGGGGAATAGTATGGCATGTTTATGTTGGTGATACAATTTTTAGTATTGGTAGTTGGTTATGTCATTTTTCTTGTAAGTTAAATTTGGGATGAAATATTGTAATTTAAATTTGGGATGAAAATTTTGTCAAGTTTATGTTAAAAATAAAATTATGAAATTTTGGTGAAAAATTATTTCATTGATATTTTTATTTAGTTTAATATTATATAATTGGCAGTTAGTTATATCATTTTTCATGTAAATAGTATTTTAAATTAAATTATTCATGAAAGTTTTGTCAAGTTTATGTTAAAAATAAAAATTATGAAATTTTGGTGAAAAATTATTTCATTAATATTTTTATTTAGTTTAATATTATATAATTGCCACTTAGTTATATAATTTTACATGTAAGTAATATTTTAAATTAAATTATTCATGAAAATTTTGTCAAGTTTATGTTAATAATAAAATTATGAAATTTTGGTGAAAAATTATTTCATTGATATTTTTATTTAGTTTAATATTATATAATTGGCAGTTAGTTATATAATTTTTCATGTAAATAATATTTTAAATTAAATTATTGATGAAAATTTTGTCAAGTTTATGTTAAAAATAAAATTATGAAATTTTGGTGAAAAATTATTTCATTGATATTTTTATTTAGTTTAATAATATATAATTGGCAGTTAGTTATATAATTTTACATGTAAGTAATATTTTAAATTAAATTATTCATGAAAATTTTCTCAAGTTTATGTCAATAATAAAATAATAAAATTTTGTTAAATAATTGTGTGATAATAATTTTACTTTATCATGTCACTCTTTTAAAATAAATTATTTATAAAAATTTTGAGGATCATTATGTCAAATTTGTATCAATAATAATATTATAAAATTATGTTAAATAATTATTACTAGTTTATCAAGTTTCCATTTTATAATTAAATTATTATTGAAAATTTAAAAAAATATTTTGTCAAATTTTTGTCAATAATAAAATAGTAAAATTGTGTTAAATTGTAATTTATCATATTAGTAGTATTATTAATTAAATACAGATGAAAATTTTTAGAATTATTTTGTTAATTATCAAGTTTTACATAATCAGAAAAAAAGTGGCGATATTTTTGTAATTTTTTAAAAACAAAAAGTTGTCTTGTAAAGAGTAAATAAAACACCCTGCTATAAACAATTGTATACATACTTAATGCTAAAAACATTGCAAAATTAATAAGCGTTAAACAAAACTTGTTTCGAGACATCAACTGTACTTTTCAATGTTGGCACTGGAATTTTTGAATTTTTAAATTTTGTTATTTTCATGTAAAATAAATGAACAATGAATTTTTGGCGATTTGGGGAATTTAGGGAATTTTGGGAGTTTGGGAAATTTGGGGAATTTGAGGAATTTGGAGAATTTGGAGAATTTGGAGAATTTGGAGAATTTGGAGAATTTGGAGAATTTGGAGAATTTAGGGAATTTGGGGAATTCGGGGAATTTGAGGCATTTGGAGAATTTGAGGAATTTAGGGAACTTGGGGAATTTGAGAAATTTGAGGAATTTAGGGAATTTGGGAAATTTGGGAAATTTGGGAAATTTGAGAAATTTGGGAAATTTGGGAAATTTGGGAAATTTGGAAAATTTGGAAAATTTGGGAAATTTAGGGAATTTTGGGAATTTTAAGAATTTAGGGAATTTGGAGAATGTGGGTAATTTGGGTAATTTGGGGAATTGTGGAGTATGGGGAATTTGGGAAACTTGGCGAATTTTGGGAATTTGAAGAATTTAGGGAATTTTAAGAATTTGGAGAATTTGAGTAATTTAGGTAATTTGGGGAATTTGGAGAATTTGGGATTTGGGGAAATTTGGAATTTGAAGAATTTGAGATTTAGGGAATTTTAGATTTAAGAAAATTGGAGTTCTGGGCAATTGGTGGAATTTTGGGGAATTTGGGGAATTTGGCATTTGGGATTTGGTATTTAGGGAATTTGATATTTGGAGAATTTAGAAATTGGGGAATTTCAGATTGGAGAAGTTTAGTATTTAAGTAATGTAGGATTTAAGAAATTTGTCGAATAGAGAATTTGGGATGTCTGTAATTCAGGATTTTTACAATATGGGATTTTGATAATTTCGAATATTAACAAAGACTTCACAAAAATCCCCCAAAAACTAAACTAAAAAACACCTAAAATTCCCATTCAAAACTTGTCCCCAAGAAATGAATCACCTAGTACACAAATTCATCACGAAAGTTTGCACGTATCCCTATTAAATTAGCCCTCCCAGAAAAACAGGGTACAATTGCGAGTAAAACCAAACGAACGAGCGCGGGTCATCAAGATTCCAGGTGTGCCAACATTAAGGTTCCAGTTTTTCTCTCGGTCGTCGAGCGTTTTCGCAGACTCACCTGTCTTTTCCCTGGAAATACCGGGCAAAGTAGACTGCTCTTTAAGTTGCACTCCAAACATGGCCTTAATTTTATTAGCTCTGGCAAGCATACCCTCGTCATGCAGACTGGACACAGTTAGGCTCCTCTGCGAGTTTTCCTTCCTTCGCCGGAACACTTTGCCGGGCACTTTGGTGATCGTGGTCTCCATTAAGAACCGATCGGCCATCGGCTCGTCGTTTTGCCGGGCCATCAGTTCGTTTCGCAGTGTCTCGTTAGTTCGAACACTCAGACCGGATCGTAGACTGTGGCTTCTATTGATGTGAACCAGCACACCGGGCTTTAGGGGCCATCTGGGTGCAGGCGTTGGCTGCACCGTGGTCTGAGTCGAATGAGAGGACACCGTGGGACTTGGGGGTCCACCGTCTGGACTGTTCAATGATTTTACATCGAATTTCTTTTATATTTAGCACGGTTTCGAATCCTCGAATGCAGTTTTTGAGAGAAGAGATTCGGGGATTCGAAAAGTTGGGTTCGTTTTTGGGGTCGAAGCTCTGGGAGGTTACAGTGCTGTGTCCGGGAAGTAGAAGGGTAGGGGTGAGTGAGGTAATAAGGGAGCTGGTGAATTTTACAATTATTTGGTTTTGTAATTTTGGGAAATACTGGTTTCCTGAAACACCAGTTATTCAATTCTTCAATTTCCTACTTTCCTAATTTTACCATCTTCCAATTTCCTAATTTCCCAAGATTTCAATTTCACAATTTCTCAGTTTTCCAACTTTCCAATTTCACATTTTCCTAATTTCCCAAATTTTCAATTTCTCATTTTCCAAATTTCCCAATTTTCCAATTTCCAATTTCCAATTTCCTAATGTAAAATTTTTCCAATTTCCCAAATTCCCAATTTGCCAATTTGCCAAATTTCCAATTTGGTAATTTGCTAATTTCCAAGTTTCCCAAATTCCTAATTTCCTAAATTCCCAGTTTTCCAATTTCTCAACTTCTCAATTCCCTAATCTCCTAATTCCCTAATTTCCCAACTCCCTAATTTCCCAATTCCCTAATTAATCAAATTCCCTAATTTCCCAATTCCCTAATTTCCCAATTCCCCAATTTCCCAATTCCCTAACTTCCCAATTCCCTAATTTCCCAATTCCCTAATTAATCAAATTCCCTAATTTTCCAATTCCCTAACTTCCCAATTTCCCAATTCCCTAATTTCCCAATTCCCTAATTTCTCAATTCCCTAATTTCCCAATGCGCTAATTTTCCAATTTCCCAATTTAGCAGTTTGCTATTTTGCAAGTTTCCCAAATTACTAATTTCTCAATTACCTAATTTCCTAATTTCCTAATTTCCTAATTTCCTAATTTCCTAATTTCCTAATTTCCTAATTTCCTAATTTCCTAATTTCCTAATTTCCTAATTTCCTAATTTCCTAATTTCCTAATTTCCTAATTTCCTAATTTCCTAATTTCCTAATTTCCTAATTTCCTAATTTCCTAATTTCCTAATTTCCTAATTTCCTAATTTCCTAATTTCCTAATTTCCTAATTTCCTAATTTCCTAATTTCCTAATTTCCTAATTTCCTAATTTCCTAATTTCCTAATTTCCTAATTTCCTAATTTCCTAATTTCCTAATTTCCTAATTTCCTAATTTCCTAATTTCCTAATTTCCTAATTTCCTAATTTCCTAATTTCCTAATTTCCTAATTTCCCAATTTCTTAATTTCTTAATTTCTTAATTTCTTAATTTCTTAATTTCTTAATTTCTTAATTTCTTAATTTCTTAATTTCTTAATTTCTTAATTTCTTAATTTCTTAATTTCTTAATTTCTTAATTTCTTAATTTCTTAATTTCTTAATTTCTTAATTTCTTAATTTCTTAATTTCTTAATTTCTTAATTTCTTAATTTCTTAATTTCTTAATTTCTTAATTTCTTAATTTCTTAATTTCTTAATTTCTTAATTTCTTAATTTCTTAATTTCTTAATTTCTTAATTTCTTAATTTCTTAATTTCTTAATTTCTTAATTTCTTAATTTCTTAATTTCTTAATTTCTTAATTTCTTAATTTCTTAATTTCTTAATTTCTTAATTTCTTAATTTCTTAATTTCTTAATTTCTTAATTTCTTAATTTCTTAATTTCTTAATTTCTTAATTTCTTAATTTCTTAATTTCTTAATTTCTTAATTTCTTAATTTCTTAATTTCTTAACTTCCTAATTTCCTAATTTTCCAAGTTTCCAATCTCCCAATTTATTAATTTCCAAGTTTCCAATTTCCCAGTTTCCCAATTTTCTGATTTCTCAATTTCCTAATAACCCATTTTCCAATTTCTTCATTTCCCATTTCCTCGTTTTACCAATTTCACAGTTTCCCAATTACGAAATTTTCTGATCTCTACATTTCCTTCCTGCTAAATTTCCCAACTTCTAAATTTGCAAATTCCCAAATTTCTCAATCTCTTAATTTTCCAACCGTTACATTTCCCAATTTAAAAAATTTTCAGTTTTTAAATTTCCCAATCTCTAAATTTCCCAATTTCCCAATTTTTCATTTAGGAATTTAGCAATTTAGCAATTTAGCAATTTAGCAATTTAGCAATTTTGCAATTTACCAATTTACCAATTTACCAATTTACCAATTTACCAATTTACCAATTTACCAATTTACCAATTTACCAATTTACCAATTTACCAATTTACCAATTTACCAATTTACCAATTTACCAATTTACCAATTTACCAATTTACCAATTTACCAATTTACCAATTTACCAATTTACCAATTTACCAATTTACCAATTTACCAATTTACCAATTTACCAATTTACCAATTTACCAATTTACCAATTTACCAATTTACCAATTTACCAATTTACCAATTTACCAATTTACCAATTTACCAATTTACCAATTTACCAATTTACCAATTTACCAATTTACCAATTTACCAATTTACCAATTTACCAATTTACCAATTTACCAATTTACCAATTTACCAATTTACCAATTTACCAATTTACCAATTTACCAATTTACCAATTTACCAATTTACCAATTTACCAATTTACCAATTTACCAATTTGCCAATTTAACCATTTACCAATTTACCAATTTTGCAAATTTCCAATTTTTTTAATATCCCAGTTTCCTAATTTCGCAATTTTCTAATTTCCCAATTTCATAATTTTCCAATCTGCCAATTTCCTAATGTCTCAATTTCCCACTTCCTAGATTCCCTATTTCTAAATTTCCCAATTCTCTAATTCCCTATTTCCTAAATTCCCCAGATCCAAATGTTGCCTATCTACATGTTATACCAAACATCAGCCCATAGTATTCCCATTCAAAGACTCTCCTAACCAATACCCAATTATTATCACCAAACACCCCACATATTCAAAAGTCCCTAAAATAGACTCCTAGTCCACTATTGAATCCTCCACAGTCCACAAAATCCCCAAAATTCCTTCCATAATTATCAAACTTTATGAACAGTAACTGTGTTACTATCTTACTAACTATATGTATAACAGTAACTATATGAACCGATATCTCACATATCTTTACCTCACCCCAATAAAAAATTTCCACTTTCACTTGCTTAAAAATGCCTCCACCAAACATTAGTTCGCCCCTTTCCTAAGATACCGAACTAACGTGTGATAGCCAGGGATAATATGGACACAGCACTTGCGGGAGTTTACCTTCGCCATAACAACGAACCGAAGAATCCTTTTGATTATTTTCGTTCTACTTTCGCACAAAGTCACGTAAAGCCTTAACGCTCCGTTCGCGATTCTTTCAAAACTTTTTAATTAAAGTTTATCCCGATTTCTCGGAGCTCCTAGACGATTTTCACAGAGTCGAGTGGATCGTTTTTTGATCAATGAACTAAAAACAAGTTTTGCTAACGAAAGAGATATTCTACCTTTGAGCGAACGTAATTTATCGTCTTTTTTTGGTTACCGAGCAAATAACCCGATACGAGTCGATCGAAAACGCGAACACGTCGATATTATTTTTTATGGAGAAATAAACGAAATCAGAGAGTTAGGGTGATGTTTTGATAATAGAATTTGTCTACTTTTTCCCTGGTGTACGAGCTGCATATTCATGGGATGCGTGAAAGCTAGTAATTCATCAAACGCGTTGCACTACGAAACGACAGTTTATTCCATTTTAATTTATCGGCCCGTTCGATCGTGAGTTATAGCTCGCATGATTTCAATCCGAAGGTATGTACGGTCACGTGCAACTTGGCCTTTTGCAGATTACGGGACGTTGCGGGGGGAGATTAATTGATGTCGGTATGACTATTGTCAGTGTAGAACTTTGGAGCACTTGCAACTTTAGAAATTTTGGAAATCTGGATATTTTGGAATTTTTTGACTCTTGAGGGTTTTGAATTTTTTGAAATCTAGAAATTGGAGTACTGGAATTTTTGGAAATTTTAGAATATTTGGAAATTTTTGAAACTTTGGAAACTTTGGAAACTTTGGAAACTTTGGAATTTTTGGAATATTTGGGAATTTTTGAATTTTGAAATTTGGAATTTTTGAATTTGGAATTTTCGAATTTCTGAGTTCTTGAAATTTTGGAATTTTGAAATTTAGAATTTTTGGAATTTTGGTATTTTTCAATTTTGGGATTATTGAAATTTTGGAATTTTGAAATTTGGAATTTGGAAATAGTGCAATAATGGAATGATAGAATGATGGAATGATGGAATGATGGAATGATGGAATGGTGTAATAATAGAATGATAGGATGGTGGAATGATGGAACGATAAAATGGTGATATGATGGAATGATAGAATGGTGCAATGATGAAATGACAGAATGGTGACATGATGGAATGATAGATTGATGCAATGATGTAATAATAGAATGGTGGAATGATAGAATAGTGGAATGATGGCAGGATAGAATGGTGGAATGATGGAATGATAGAATTGTGGCATGATGAAATGACAGAATGGTGGAATGATAGAATGGTGATATGATGAAATGATAAAATGGTGCAATGATGGAATGGTAGAATGATGGAATGATGCAATAATAGAATGGTGGAATGATGCAATAATAGAATGGTGGAATGATGGCAGGATAGAATGGTGGAATGATGGCATGATAAAATGGTAACAAGATGGAATGATAGAATTGTGGAATGATGAAATGAGAGAATGGTGAAATGATGAAATGTTGGAATGATAGAATGGTGCAATGATGGATTGTTGGAATTTTGAAATATCGAAATTTTGGAATGTGGGAACGCTGGAACGTTCAAATGTTAAAATGTTAGATTGTTGGAATACAGAAATGTTGGAGTTATAGAATATTGGAATATTGGAGTGTTAGAACGTTGGAATATTACAATGTTGGAATGTTGGATTGTTAGATTGTTGGAATAATGAAAGGTTGAAATCGAGGAATGTGATGAATGTTGGAATGTTGAAATATTGGAATGTTGGAGTGTTAAGAATATCGTAATGTTGAAGTGTTGAAATGTTGGAGTGTTAAGAATGTTGGAATGTTGGAGTGTTAAGAATGTTGGAATGTTAAGATTGTTAAGAATGTTGGAATGTTAAGATTGTTAAAAATGTTGAAATGTTGGAATGTTGGCAATGTTGGAATATTAACAATGTGGGAATGTTGGAATGTTAACAATGTGGGAATGTTAAGAATGTTGGAATGTTAACAACGTGGGAATGTTAAGAATGTTGGAATGCTGGAATGTAGGAATGTTGTAATGCAGAAATGATAAAGTTTAGTACTATCGGAATGTTGCATTATAGGAAGCCAGGAATGCTGCAATGTTGAAATTATATCGTCGAATTTTGCAATTGTGAAGTTCTACGCTTGAATTTTATAATTTCATAATTTTGAAATTTCAGATTTGGAGCTCTGGAACTCCGTACATTCCCATCATTGATATCTTCTAATTATTCAACCTTCCAATGTTAAAATTCTTAAACTCTCAAGTAATCGAACATCGGTTATAATTTCGAAATATCCGAACATTGCCCACTAATTTAGTACAGCGATTCCAAGCTTATAACCTTTGAATTTCTGAACAGCCAGCAATCAATATCCCGCGAATCCACGTCCCCCTAGATCAACACTATCATTCAAAAGGAAAACCCTCCTGAGCGTCCATCCCCATTTCTCCGTCCACGTCGAAATATGAAAACCGGTCCCCGTTCGGCGTATAAAAACCGCGTTAAATATTCACGGTACGTTGAAGAGCGTACAAGCGAAGCGAAAAATTCGCCGGCAAAAGGATTCTTCGTTTCAGGTCACGATTTGAACGACAGCCAACTCAATAAGAGGGCTTTCTACTCATCGAGCATGCAACCCTTCGCCTACCTTTCACCTCCGAAACTGTCTCTCCTGGTATATGTGTAGGAATAGTGCAACGGCATTGTAACAGAGACAGGCTATCCAACTATAACTAATCGTCCTTAAATTATGCAACAACGTCCACACAGTGCCACATTCGAATAACAAAGAACTCCGCCGCCCCTATTCATTTGCACGTGCGACCCTTACCTGTCTCACCTCTATGCACACTTCGATAGTAAACTATTATAAGCCGGAAGTGCTCGCTAAATTATGCAACAGGACATGCATTCAGGTGTGAAGATATACGGAGAGGGAACCAGACCGGACATAATCGGTACACACGTGTGCGTGTCATGTAAGAAAGTATTCGTACTTTGTTAATTAACCTGTATTTTTTTTTTGAGTTGAGTGATTTATTGCATATGTGGTCAGTTACTATTTATTGTTTGGTTATAGTTAGATTGTAGTTTGGTGAATTATCTGATGTGTATGTTAACGTGTGTGGTTTATATGTATTGTCACGGCATTGCGTCATTATTGTGTGGTATGATACTTTAATATGGTATGATAGCATCAAATCATCTGTTGTTATATCAGCATAAGATATTGCTATATTGTAGTGTGATATGATCAAAATATGGTACTATAACATATTATGACATGATTGTTATGATACTGGCATATCATACGATTATCATATCACAATCACATTACCCTAACGTGTAACCATAGCATAAATTTTACAGCATTGTATTATCATAATATACTGTTACATTATAGTATGATAATAATATGATGCTACAGCAGGTTATGATATGATTGTTATGATACTAGCATATCATCATACGATTACCATATCACAATCATATTGTCATAACATGTAACCATAGCATAAATTTCACATAATTGTATTATCATAATACACTGTTACATTATAGTATGATAATAATATGATGCTACAGCAGGTTATGATATGATTGTTATGATACTAGCATATCATCATACGATTACCATATCACAATCATATTGTCATAACATGTAACCATAGCATAAATTTCACATAATTGTATTATCATAATACACTGTTACATTATAGTATGATAATAATATGATGCTACAGCAGGTTATGATATGATTGTTATGATACTAGCATATCATCATACGATTACCATATCACAATCATATTGTCATAACATGTAACCATAGCATAAATTTCACATAATTGTATTATCATAATACACTGTTACATTATAGTATGATAATAATATGGTGCTACAGCAGGTTATGATAATATTGTTATGATACTAGCATGTTATCATACGATTATCATATCACAATCACATTAGCCTAATGTGTAACCATAGCATATATTTCACAGCATTGTATTATCATAATACACTGTTACATTATAGTATGATAATAATATGGTGCTACAGCAGGTTATGATAATATTGTTATGATACTAGCATGTTATCATACGATTATCATATCACAATTACATTATCCTAACGTGTAACCATAGCATAAATTTCATAGCATTGTATTACCATAATATATTGTTATCTTATAGTCTGATGATAATATGATGCTATAACAGGTTATGGTATTATTATTATGATACTAGCATATCATCCTACAACTATCGTATCAGTATTATATTATTATAACATGTTACCATAGCATAAATTTGTCATATCAGTGCAACATCATAATATATTAGATTACATAATGATGTGATGATAATATGGTACTATAACATACTATGACACTGTCTTTATGATACTAACACATCATCATACAATTATCATATCAGTATCATGTTATCATAACGTGTTACCGTAGCATCAATTTTACATCATTATATCATTATAATATTTCAGTATGATATGATGATAATATGGTACTATAATACATTATGATATTATTGTTATGATATATCATCATTATACAATTATCACATCAGTAGCATAGTATCATAACGTGTTACCATAGCATAAACTTGTCAAATCAGTTTATCAGTTTATCATCATTATATCACTCCCCTTTTATAATATCATTATGACACTAATATATCATTAGTATACGACTATCATATCACTGTTATATTATCATAACATCATTATGATGCTATCATACCATCACTACAATTATCACATTATAGAATTGTAACATATCACATCACATTATCATTAAGAGCAATCATATCATTATTATGATACCACCATATGGCAATCATATCATCATCATATCATGTCACCACAACTTGTTATTACCTTATCATATTATCATTATAGATCATCATATTATTATGATACCACCATATGGCAATCATATCATCATCATATCATGTCACCAAAACTTGTTATTGCCTTATCATATTATCATTATAGATCATCATATTATTATTATCATACCACCATATGGCAGTCATATCATCATCATATCATGTCATCACAACTTGTTATTACCTTATCATATTATCATTATAGATCATCATATTATTATTATGATACCAACATTATATTGCAATCGTATCATCATACCATGTCACCATATCTTGTTATCATATTACCATTCTATCATAACATGCTATGATAATATCATAACGTATTATCATACTTTGATATCATAACTCGTTATCATATTACCATAACGTGTTATTGTACTCTGACATCATAACTCGTAATAATGTTATCATAACATGTTATGATCGTCATCATATCATCATAAGGTGTCATTATATCATCATGTATGGCTCAATGTTACCATGAATGGTTAATCGATACTAATTTTAACTGTATAGTTAGATAGTAAATATCTTGATGTATAAAGCACCGTAAACCACAATTTAACAAAATGTCCAAAATTGAAATTTCTTAAAATGTCACCAATAAACCACAAATAAAATAATTTCCCAAAGCGTTCAAAAACGACCACAGTACGAATACTTCTTACAACCGTAGTTCCAAGTGTACCAGTGCAACGTATACACAATCGTATCCGCTATAGAGTGCCATAGTTTACCGACAAATTCGGGCGAATCACCGTGGTAGCCGATGTGCACCGCCATTTTGTAAAGCGAAACCCCTCGAAACAGATCCCACCGTCCAAGCGTTACAAAGAAAATTTCGTGGGAATCCATGAAATAAAAGGTGTAGCAAGCAACGAAAGATGCGAGCGAAAACAACATTAAAGAGGACGAACAGGGAGAAAGATTGAAATACTTTTCTACTTACTGTTCGCGTTCCTCCAGCTCGACCACCCGATTACTGTCTGTGTTTTGTTTAGCAAGTCCAAATTAAAAAAGTAGAGCAGAAACGAATCAGTTTTTCTGTGTTAGTGATACGCCGGCGAAAAAACGAGAGCCGCGCTGCGCTGTGCCCGCGAGGACCGTTCGAAACCGAGACTTGCACGTTTAATTAGAGATTGTTCTTTACAGCACCGAAGTTCACGACCTTTCGCGAATTTAATTAACGTTGACTAACTTCTTGGAGGAGATCGCGTTCAACTTTGCCCCGGGAATGTTACGCGAGATGTACTTTATGAACAACCGTTTCTCTTCGCTGCAAATGGCTGAAAGGACATTTTCGTTTGAATAACTGTTTTCATTCAGGGTGAAATATTGAATTTTTAAAGTTCAAATGTTTCTTATTATTTATTTGTTTCAATGATTTTTTGGTAGGCAAATTCGTTAAAGATTATTGGTAGATTATGTGTGTTATAATACAGGTTGTTTCACAATTCGTGTAACTCACGGAAAGAAGTGGTAGAGGACGCAATTTTGAATAAGATTTTCCTTTGCAAAATTGTGATATGAAGCTTCGTTTTTGAATTATTAAGGAAAAACACTTAGGCGATATAACGCGTGGCAATATAACGCGTAATAATTTTTAACGCGTGGCGATATAACGCATAGTAATTCATAATGCATAGCGGTATAATGTGTAATAATTAATATCGCGTCGTCATTTAGAATACGCGGCGATATAACGCGTGGCAATATAACCCGAGGCAATATAACGCGTAATAATTTATAACACGTAGTAATTTATAATACGCGGCGACATAACGCATAGTAATTTATAACGCGTGGCTATTTAACGCGCAGTAATTTATAATACGTGGCGATATAACGCGTGGCAATATAACGCGTAATAATTTTTAACGCGTGGCGATATAACGCATAGTAATTCATAATGCATAGCGGTATAATGTGTAATAATTAATATCGCGTCGTCATTTAGAATACGCGGCGATATAACGCGTGGCAATATAACCCGAGGCAATATAACGCGTAATAATTTATAACACGTAGTAATTTATAATACGCGGCGACATAACGCATAGTAATTTATAACGCGTGGCTATTTAACGCGCAGTAATTTATAATACGTGGCGATATAACGCGTAGTAATTCCTAACGCGTGGCGATATAACGTGTAGTAATTTCTAATGCGTGGGTATATAACGCGCAGTAATTTCGAACGCGTTGCGATATAACGCGTAGTAATTTATAATACGTGGCGATATAACGCGTGGCAATATAACGCGTTAATTATGGTAGTTAGTTTCTTTTTCTTTTGATCTCGTAAACATGTATATTCTTTTATTCTTCTTGTAGGTTTAAAATGATTTATGACGCATCTATTTTGTGCTATTCTAAGTGTTCACAGTAGTAGTTGCTCTTTTTTGTAACTCGTAGGACTGTTAATAGCTCGTTTTTAACCGACTTCGAAATCTAACGCGTGGCTATATAACGCGCAGTAAT